GTGAGGGGTTACAGCCAAGTCTGGGCTGTATCTAAATGAGATTCACAAGTGAAGTCCTGCCTTCGCTCAGATCAGGAGTTCTCTTGCCTTTGCTTCCACTAGGACCAAAATCTTGTTCCGGTGTCAGTGTGGCATGGCTTTGCGCCCAGACGGTGCCTCTCTCAGTTAGGCTCGTCTTACTTTTTGATCGTACAGAGGTGGGAGACAGAGTCAGCAGGTTTTCTGTAATGTTCTAATTACCTCTTTAATATCAGTATCACAATCTAGTAAAGCCTTTTCTGTATCAACTGAGAGCACTGGAATTGGGCTGAGGACTTTTCAGGCTTGACTAGCAGAGTGCTTGCAGCAGAATAGAAGTCTGACTTAAGGATGCATTTTAGGTGACTTCCTCATCTTTTGGAGGTTTCTTGAGACTTCCTTGTCTGATCACCAAGTCATCGGACCAAAGCAGTCACTGAGTAGCTGCCTGAAATCTATTACTTTGTTTTTGTTTCGCCATCACAAGGTTTGTGTTTGTAGGCAATTATCTTGGTGAGTGCACATAAAAATGGGTCAATATGTATTAGCATTAATGTGTTTGAGTTCTCATTGTACTTTTGGGTCTATTGAAAAAGAATAGCAGATAAAGCTGGGATTGTTTCTGTGTGAATGTTTGAAGCCTGTTGAGTTTTGCACGTATTATGAGTTGTCCAGTTGGCATGTGGGATAGTATCCGGCTACGACAAGAATTTAATCATAGATGACAGCATAAATTAATTTCTTGCAGATGTGCTTATGTCAGCAGTAGTGCTAGTAAACAGCAGGGTTTGGATGTTTAGACCTTTAAGAAGTTAGAACTATGTATGTAGTGGCTAAGGTATAGTAGACACTTCTCAAGGAAAGATATAAGGACTCTTTCCAGCTGGAAGAAAAATCAAAACAGTGACTGACATTTGCACTGATTAAAACCTCTTTGCTGTTGGCCAAAGACCTGTCATTGTACGTGCTGATGCACACCTCATACTGATGTCCAGATGTTGTAAACAGCTTCAAATAATTGGGCACACATTGTTCTTATGCAGCTGGCAGGTTGGCAGCAAGGTGGGTAACTGCTGGGAAGTCCCTTCCTGCCTGCAAGGGACTCCAGTAGTGGGAAGCAGGTGCTCAAACACTGCTTGCTGCAAGCCTAACAGCAACAGGCCAGAACTTCATACAGTGTATGTGCAAAGGCAGTCACACCCAGGGCAAGAATTTTAATTGCTTGGGTATCTTTGACTGATTCTCACCACTGTTATGTACACCCTCATGAGCAAAGGTTATGTAACATGTGGGCAAGAAAGACTTAAGTAGCGTTGTTCAGAAGACTTCCCACAAGCCATCTTAGAACAGTTACAGCAGCCATTATCAGTCAGACTTTGGGATAGACAGAATTTTAATGAAATTAGATTGGTGGAAACCCCACAGACTGAGTTTAGATGGTCCTACTCCTGCCTGTCGTCTGGGGCATGTGTTATTGTGTGGGCCTCATATGGTAGCTTGGAGTCGGAATGGATTCTGACTTCACTAGAAAAGACCCCATATTCAGAATAAAAGGAGAGCATTTCATTTTCATGTTATGTAGTGGCAAGCTTCCTCCTAATACCTTGGGCTTACCCAAGGGATTATAAGGAGATCTAGACCATGGGAGGATGGTCTGTTACCTTGATGTGCTAACTCTTGTGCTTCAAGTGGAATCGTAGGGTTAAGGTGACCAAACAGTTTTCCTGTTGGCCAAAAGCTTCCTGTTCAAAAACCACTGTTTTACCAAACATCTCACATGAAGTGCTATCCAGGTTTGATAATTTCTAAACAAGTTAACTGAGGTGTTGCAATAATGTTGGCATAGCCAAGCAATCATTGTGGGTATGTCATGGTGGATGTAACAATTTTTAACTTCTCTTAGAAGACCTGGCTCAGTTGTCTGCACTGGTACTTGAGGAGGATTTCTTAGAAGCTGAACTGCTAATCCTAAGGGAGATGTTTCTTCCACTTGTCATAGTTTCGGGTAAAGACATGCTAGTATGAGGCTACTTGTGGAAGTAAGGATGCCTATACCCCACTTAGTATCTCATGTGTGGTGTATCTTAACTATTTTTTAACACTTGTCCCCAGAGATTAAGTTATAAGATTTATCTGTGTGAACCAGCATAGAGTCTGGTAAAAGTTTAGTTGTTTTTCCTATATACTCTGGTTTATTTACAGCTGTTTGTGCCTTAGACTATAAAGTAAATCTGCTTTTCTTACAAGCTTGAATAATCTACATTTGGATTGATGCTCACTTGTGTTGCGGGTTTGTGTTTTGGTGGTGTTTTTTTTGGGTTTTTTTTTGTTTGTTTGTTTGTTTTTGTTTGTTTGTTTGTTTTTAAACAGGATTTCACTGGCTGTTTGATTGCATAACACCTGTGAGACTGAGACTGGTAGTTGTTCTTGTCTCTAACACTTTTCCAAAACCAGTTTTCTTTGACCCTGAACCCGGTTGTGCAATTGCAAGCAATAAATCTGAAGGATCTAGGCCCAATGGGCATGAATAACCCCATTAAAAAACCAAACCAAACCAAAACAAAAAGAAACAAACAAAACACAACTGAAAAACCCAACAACAACCCAAACTTGAAAACTTTGCCACCAAGTTTAAGACGGTACCCAGGTCTGAGAAAACATATTATCACATGACAAGATTTTCTATCGTTAAGTGATGGAGATTCTTTTTCAGACGTGGTGGCAGTGGTGACACTGCTCCTGGGAGAAGCACTGTTGTCAGTGGGCAGAGGGGAGTTGTCTTGTCTGCATTTGCAGGGCTGGGCCATGCATAGGGTGCTCATTTTCCCTGAGAGCAGCTAGGCCTGTGATCCCCTCTAAGCATCCCTGTCCTCCCTTTCCCATGCTTTATTCTTTCCTGACACCTTACCAGCAGGCTTCTGGTGGCATCAATGAGTCACTGCACCCTTAGGTGGTCCAGAAACCTCACTACACATTCCTTCCACAGCCTGAGTGAGGTATCTTCTGTCCAGACTGTCTTGGCCTCCATGCTAATTTTCTACTTAGTCACCTACAAGCAGGGCAGCTATGTAAGGGAGAAGCTGTTCTTGATAACTGTTTTTTGTATATCAGCATTTTCCTCTTATTTAGAAAGAGGAAAAAAAAAAAAAACCAAAAAAAACCCCAAACAAACAAAAAACAAGCCCTGTGCTTTTCCTTAAGCCTCAAAAGTTCTTGAGAAGCTGGTGTTTTGAGACTCAATCCTACCTGTGCTCTGCTTGAAACATACATTTTCAGTAGTTCTGACTAAGCCCATGTTAGAAGTTTTGTTTTAACGTGCAGCCTGCTTTGGAGCATGATTAACCCATCAACACATTAGGTAAGGAACCCATTTTGCCATAACCATGGGAAGAAGCTAATCTGTGAAAGGTACAAAACAAAGTGAGAGCTCATGAAGCAAGCATCTGAGCCCCAAAGCTGCTTTTCTTTCTCCCAACTGTACCAGGCAATCTAAAAATCTAAACAAAACACCCTTGCTTGCACTGTAGTGTCAAGAGGACTACTTTTGGATTATTTTAACTTTACGGCTTGGTGAGTTGTTTATAGTATAAGTACACGGTTTACCATCCAATCAAACTTTTGACATGACTGACCTTCCTTTGTCTTTGCACTTCAGCTCGAAGTCTAAAAGTAATTACTGCAGACGCTTGCCATGCTAAACTCAAAATATGCTCTTGTACAAAGAGGCTGACAGAAGACAAACCTGGCTTTTTTTCACTTTTATTTTTTGCTTGTCAAAGTAGTTCTACAAGTAGTTAAGAAATGGTCTGAATAGTTATGCATTCGGTGGTGAACAAGGTTATGATATATTGCTTTAATGCACCATATATGTGGGCTGTACAACCTGCTGAAGGCATTGCCTTATTGTCATAGAGAAAAAAGTCTCAAACAGAATTCAAAGTTATTTTAGTCCTTTATAGACATAATATTTCATCTTACTTCAGGTAAAGAATGTACCCAGGATGAAAGTACAGCTGCAGCTATCTTTGCTGTTCAAATGGATGACTACTTGGGAGGAAAGCCTGTGTGAAATTCAAGGATATGAGTCCACTGAGTTTGTGAGCTACTTCAAAGGAGGAATTAAATATAAGGTAAAGAGCCAGCTATCAAAACACGTTCTGAAGGTATATATGTAACATTGTACCTCAAGTCATATCAAAAATTTTGCTTTGTAAATTGAAAGTTTAAAAATTGTCTCTTAATACTTTGAGGTTTTAGATCAGAACTACCTATCTTAAGCAGTGGGAGTCTCAATACTTTTACAGAAATCAGCAGCTTGTTTACATCCTCTGATATGTGCAAACTTTTCCAAGTGATTTTTTTTTTTTTTTTTTTCTCAAAAATGAAGCTCTCCTGAGATTTCATACTTGTTTAAACGTCTAGGGTAACTCACAGTAGGGGCCCTCTGTGTATGGAATGTAGTAAATATCACAGAAACGCTGCGTTATAGACTGAACAATTTTATTCAAATGCAGAACCCAATGTACTTAAGTGGTTAAAAACGTGAACAGAGCGGAAAAGACCAAAATCTCACTGTAGTCTAAAAATGGTGCTTTTGCAGTCCTACTGCACTTTTTTTTTTTTTTTCATTCAAGGTAGGTTAAAAAAGTCTCAGATACTTTTCATTAGTATTTTATACTTTAAAAATCTATAGTGTTGACCTTGGTTTTGTGCAATTTCCAGAAGCTGAATCTTTGGAAGGAAATTTTGTGACATCTGTGGGTTTTTGAGGATAAAGATCTCCTGAGAATCTCCTCATGGTAGGAGCTCTGGGAGTCATTGGTTAGTCAAACTTTTTTCCAGTTACGGAGCTTTGTAACTTGTCATGGTCAACATAAGCAATTTGAAGTGTTTAACTGTGCTTGTGTAAGAGAGCTTGGCAATGACTTGCCCACTCTTTTAATTTATTTTGTTTTTTAAGTATATTCAAGAGTCAGTTTCTTGTCCAGCCCAAGGTCTGGGTCTCCTGAAGGAGTGGAGAATACTGCCTCAGAGGCAGGCAGGAATAGGGTATTCTTAAACTTACACTTTATAGATTGTAAATCAACAGTTTAGTCTTACTTCTCGCAGTTAACTGCTCTTTGGTAGGTTGCCTCTTAAGTGGCAAGTATTCCTTTCAGAAAATTACAGAGCTGCTGTGAAATTACCCCTCCTGCTGCACATAACCAGGCACTAAAACCACCTAGATCTCTGAGATTTAAGACATTTGGGAAAACGTACACAGAGGCTACATATTGCTCTGCTTTCATCAGTCCTTATTTGACAAGGTATTGACTTTTGTTACATCAGTGTTGTTCAGTATTACCTCATCCTCTGGATGATGCTGGAGAGTGCTGTAAATTCTGTAGTTTCCTTTTTCGGGTTCACCTGAAAACCTTTGAACTAGGGTGACATCTACTCTCTCAGATAAAAGTTCACACCTGAGAGTTCTGCAGCAGCAGTGTTCCCCGTATCTATCTAGTCTGTGGTTAGCACTGTTGAACAGTTTATTACTTTGGCTCACCTTTCACTGTATAAACTATTTTTTTTCCCTCATCAGCACCAAAAAGGTAAGTTTGCAGAAATCCAGATGGAAATAAAACTTGCTGCTTTGTTCTACTTCATTCAGGCAGGTGGTGTTGCCTCTGGATTTAATCATGTTGTTACTAATGATTTGAGTGCCCAGAGGCTTCTGCATATCAAAGGCCGGAGAGTTGTAAGAGCCACAGAAGTCCCCCTGGCTTGGACCAGCTTCAACAGAGGAGATTGTTTCATTGTTGACCTCGGAACTGTAAGTCTTTCGTAGAGCAAAACATTTTGAAAAGAAAGATGCCACATCCCTTCTAAGGTCCGAATCGTCCCCTGAAATGCACAGCTAATGTTGTCACTCACTCTTGTCACTCACTCAAACTGACAGAAAGAATCTCCTTTAGAAAATGAGTTTTAGTGTCACAGCACTTCAAAGGCTTAAAACTGCCCTAAATGTTTTCTGAAGTTGGCACAGATTATACTTAAGGAAACCATTCTCTTTTTCAATCAAGGCATTGGGAGTATTTTACTACTGATATTAGAACCTTAAGCTGTTCACAGTAAGTTCTGCCTGACACAGTCTACCAGCTGAATGGGATCAGTGCTAGGGTTCAGAGCAGAACACAGATCAGACCTTTCCCTTGAGAGCATTTCTACATATTCATGAAACTTTGATCATGACAATTTAACCTAAAGAAATAGCTGCAAAAGAAGTAATAATAAATTTGTAGTTTTATAACACATTGTATTAGTTGAGTATTTCAAGAGATCACTTGAGAAGCAATCCCATACTTCAAGGCTTTCTGCTGAAAGCAAGTAGAGAGATTTAGTACAGAAGCATATGGACAGAGAAGATAATTTTGCTTGCTTCAGATGACTTACAGTGCTGTCACCATAGTATCAAGAAGTCTTAAGATGAATTCTGAAAGTAGCAGCTGAGATGTAGTCCACACTCATTAGATGCTAGTTATCAGGGTGACATTGTTCCCATGCCTGATACGCTAACACTTATAAAGTTAGGAGCATATGAAAGAACATTGTTTATCTGCAAGGCAGCATCTGCGGTTGATCTTAACTATAGGGCTTCACAAGGAAGTGGTCAGCTGTGTTGGAGAGATTTCAGAGAAGAGTTCCCTGACCTGTTGGAAAAGGAGCTTTTCTGAACTTACGTTTCAGGTTTGGCTGTTTCTTCTGAAAAGGATCCTGTAGTATGATAATTGAAGATATCCTGATTGCCTGCTAGTTTTGTGATGGTTAGCATCTTTCAGATAGAACAACCACCAGTGTTTTCGTAACATTATCCCATTCCTTCTATCGCACTGTGGTCTAATCAGCTGGAACAACTAAGTGATCAGTATCCAAACAGCTGTCACTCAGTGTCACTTTGTATTAAGGATGTATAGAAGATTCAAATAATCTGTTCCATTTCAGGGTTAACTCATGGGAGAAGAGAAGATTGGAACTGAGTATTGATAGAAAATTCTGCTTTTGCACTTAAGCTGTCACAGGGCTTGAGTTTTCTGGTTTGGAGTTAATGTCCCATGGACACCTTGTGGAACTGAGTGTCCATGCATTTGACTTGTCCAGACCCTTATTGTGCCACAGTTACCCAGTTCCCCTAAAGTAATTGCTGAGGTCACACTGCAGACATGGCAATGACACTGATGAAATGCAGTATTAGTATATAATGGTGTTACATGTATAGCTTGGGATTCATCCTCTTTGGTGAGATTTGTGGAGAGGAGAACTCTGTCACTAAGCTGTTTAAATGTAATATGGCTTTGAAGTCTTGATTTCTAATCCTGAATGTGCATCATGAGCCTTTTTTTAGTATAGCATCACTCTGGTTTCTGATTTCCTGTTTGACAAGACGGAGGGCGAGCAGCAATGCAACCCCGTGCCTTTGTAGGAAGAAAGATTAGATGTGAACAACATCTCTTCTTTACCATGCTAGGGGAAATGTCAGTGAAATCACATGACTATGAACAGTTCTTGATCTGGGTGTATGTGGGATGGGTTTCCTTGAATGTATTAGGAAATTAAGGAAAAAAGTGTTTCAGCGTCCAGAAATTTATAGTAATTTCATCATGTTATTTTATGAACTGGATCTTTCTTGTGGGAGATGGAAAGGCCACATGTGATATGCTTCAAGAGGAAGATAAATCTAGTGAAGTGCCTATAGAGAAATAGGTGTGGTAGAAAATACACTGTCACAGTGGAAATCTTGAGCAAGTTTTACAAGAACTGTATTTCAAGCTGAAAAACCTTATTTCAGGTTGACCTTTTTGTGACTAGAGGTCCATTGTAAATGGATGAGTAGACACAGGAGCCCTTAATTGAATTTAGAGGTCCTTTAAAGAAAAATAAATATTTTTGGCTCAAGTAGATTACTTAATAATTGACATAAAATTAATCTTAAAAAGGGCTGCTCTTGAGCCTTGGGATTTATCACAGTGCCCTACTGAATCTTTGAGAATAACGGGTAGTAATTGAATAGAATAATGAACTTATGGTCAGTTCTTTTAGTATCAATTTATCGTAGCATGTCAAATACAATGAATTTCTAAGACTTGCTTTCCCCAGTCTCTTTGCTAACCAGAAGGATAGTCTCCATGGCATGTCAAAACTGCTTATGCAGTCCATTTCCTGCTACATTTCATCAAGTCACTTGTTTAATATTATGAAAATAATTTTGGTTTTCCCATTGAGCTTAATTACTGCAGTATTTTAAACCTATGTTATGAGCAGATAAGAGAAAATTAAGAAAGGTAGTAATGATCATGAATAAAATCATTACTGATCACTAAGGCTTCCATCCTGGTGATAATGTCTTAAGTAGGAAGTGTGCATTTCCAACTAGCTTCACATTTATAGTTCAGATTCTGATGGTTACCTCATATCTAGATAGGTTACTAAGCCTCATTTGCAGCATTTCAAATGCCCTGCCCAGGTCTTATTTTGCTTCCTTTGAACTCTCTAGTTTGGAGCAGAAAATAACTGCAGGAGACAAACACTATAAAGAGTAAGATATATAAAGATATGAGGGATGTCATTAGGCGTACATAATGTTTAAGGGCTTTTATACTCAGTCTTCTGTATGACCATGACATGAGCATTGTGACCACCATGCTGGTGTTCCACTGCAGTGAATGATCCAGGTAAGTGTCTGGGGTTCTAGATCATGATGGGTTTTTTTGTGTGTTTTGTTTTTTGGGTTTTTTTTTTTTTTTTTTGTGTGTGTGTGTGTGTGTTTTGTGTGTCTGTTGTGATTTGTGTTGGGACTTTGGTTGGTTGGATGGTTTTTTTTTGTTTGTTTTTTTACAAGTGATTTCCATGCTGCCTCTATGGTGAACCTTGGAATCTTCCTGAACTTTTGGGACAGAGCAGTTGCTAAGAAGGCTTTGTACAGGCCTGGAGTAAAGTGCACTTTACTTTATCAGGTGCTGCTTAGTGCATCCTGTCCTGGCATAGCTGTGCTCAAGCCCTCTCGGAAGCCATGGTCATCTGCCACAGTTCCCATCTCATCCTTTTAGCAGGATGATGCTGAGCTCTTCCTGCTGTCTCACCTGAGAGGCACCGGCATGGGTTTGGCAGTTCTGGGTCCCTATAAGCTGTCTGACCTTACTCTGTGCTGTCCTCATTACCTCTAGATGCAGCTCTCCCTACATCACGCCATCCTCCTGATTCCTCCCCTTAATCACATCCCTCTCTTCCTCTGTCACCAAGACATATTCTCAAAACATTAAGGAACATCAGAGGGCACAGAAAATGACCATGGAAGGGAGGGAAAAAGAGTAATCGTTTGGCCATTCAGTCAATAATATACACACTTTTTCCAAGGCTGTAAGCTGTTTTAGTATTGTCTAGATGCATGTTAATATAGCTTATATATGTATTTTTTTGATAAAGTGTACTAAAGGATCTGATCTCTTTTGTCAGTTGTCTTAGTGATTGGTTTAAAGTGGAAGAAAACTTACTGTAATGTGAAGATCACCCTGTGTACATTGGTGCATGCTGGTGATGTACAAAGTACAAATGTTGAGTTGTGTTGATAATTTGGATGGATATCAAAACACAGAGCAGAAGTAATGGGAGTAGCAATACAATAAAACAACATGAAGTGATGAACTGATTTTATTGAAAGCTGCTCAGCTCAGTTTGGGAAGCTCTGCTGTATGAAGGCTGTCTAAAGTTGTATCCTTAGTGACAAGCAAAAATATTCTTGATGCATTTGTTCAGATAGAACTTTGTAAAATGGAAGACTTGATTCTCGCTGGCCTACTTCCCTCTTGATGGAGCAGTGCTACAAGCCATGTGAGTGGGGACGGCAGGGAGAGGGCTATGTAGCACAGCCTCCTGGAAGAAATCAGGAAAGTTTTTCAAATAAGGGGAACGGGGGATGTGTGATAAGTACCAAGCAGTTCTGAGCTCAGGTCTGATTGGGGCTGGTGTGTTTTGTCAGTACAATCAAAGTTCTCCTAGCAAAATGTTGCCCTTCTTCCCAAAGAAAGAATGCAGATGGTGAGGTGATAACTGCATCTCAGGTTAAGTGAAGACTGAAGATAAATTGCACTCAGTTGTCCTTTTTTCTAGTTCCGTTAGTGGTACTGATAAACCAGTTCATAAACAGCCAAGAAGCTGCTTGTTTGAAATTTAAGAGCCTGTGGTGTGCTTAAAAACAGCTTATTGTGCCATCCAGCAATCAATATATGTACTTCTCAAGGGCTCCATGAATCACAAGCAAAAACTATGATGTTAGAATTCAGAAACATGATCACAGCTTTATTCAGTCTCATGCATCTGTCAGTATGGTCCTACTTGAACTCCTGACACAATAAGTATGTCAAAAGGAAAAAGATTGTTGTCTTGCATGATGACGCTAGAAAAAATACTTAAAGCAAAAAGCCTGGATTTTTTTTATGGCAGCTGCTTTTCATACAATTGTTAACTTGCTGTAGATTAAATTACATTTACAAAAAGAAAATTAACTTCTGCTTTTTAACAGTAAAACATGAACAGACACTTGCTTTATGATTATGACTACAGGGAATGATTCAGCATCACCTTGCTACCTTAAGCACACTTGTAGTTTTGTTTGCTTCTGTAATCTCTCTGCTTTCTTGCCTGCACTGTCTCTTCTAGGTGGCTTTGCTTCTCTTTCTTTAGAGAAACCAGTTCACAATCAGCACACTTTATTAAAGTCACTCTTTGGGTATAAACAGGACTGGAAGAACAGATTCTTGCATGTTGGAGTTCATCACT